GTCTTACACTAGTCATTAGAAGAAAATGAGAGCAAGCTTCAAGTAATTATGGGACTCCTATCCATTGTTTCAATATATGACTAATACCTTTCTATTCGTTAGATTAAATCCTAATTTCATTCTGTGTTGTTGCAGGGTGCATCTGAGAAGGACATTGTCCACTCTGGGCTGGCTTATACAATGGAGCGTTCTGCTCGGGTAAGTGTTGCTTTAATAACCATACTTACAGGAAGAACTTAACGTGGCTTAGCGACATACACACAGTTGGTGGTAGTGGATGTCACTGATTCTGAAATACTTGTTCTGTGCAAGGGTGGCCAAGTTTCAGTAGGCACAGAAGACAGACTAACATATATCAGGAGGTATTTTCTGGAAGAAGCTATACTGACTGGAAGCATATTAATTGTCTTCTTGTACCTGAGAAATACTTTAGAGTGCTTTACTTTGCCGTCGGCAGTTTTAGATTTCTCTCTTTATGCAGTACTTTTAATTAGTTTTTGCTCCACTATGTGAAACTTGGTTGCTTCCTGTGTCTGAGTACACATGGATCCAAGACCTGATAAAAAGCAACAGAAATCTGCAAAAGATTTGGTTCCCTTTTAGATCTCAGAGATTAACTGAGAGATTCTAGACATGATCCTTAAAGAATCTGAGCCCTGATACCAGTATAGGAGTTCTTCAAATCCTACTTCTATCCTATGAGCAGAATCTCGCACAGTTCCTATAGAGAAACTTGCAACAATCTTATGTAAGTTTTCCTGTTTCAGCAAATCATGCGGACTGCCATGAAGTACAACTTGGGTCTGGACCTGAGAACAGCTGCCTATGTCAATGCAATTGAGAAAGTCTTCAAAGTCTACAATGAGGCTGGCCTGACCTTTACATAAGCAGGCTGTCACTGCTTCTTGTTGTATCCCATCCCTCTTGCCGTAAATGTACCCTCTTCTTGGAAAAGCTTATCACAAGTTTACATGTAACCACAAAAATTTATTTTCTTCTGACATTATAGTGGATTCTATTCTCAATTAGTTTCAGTCCAAACTAGTCTTTTTTTTTTTTTTTTTTTTTTTTTTTTTTACAATAAAAACCCATGGATTAGAAACTTGTATACAGGCACGTATCTGAAGATAACAGTTCATCTGCACTTGTGGGGGCCATTCTGGGTATTTCACCTGCAAAGCAAAATGGTACATTTTGTGTGTGAACGAGTGGTCTTGCCACCTGAGCCACTTCTCAAACTTCAGATCAGATACTGTACTAGATGAGCACTAAGCTCATTATTACTTCTTGCACTTTTGTTTAATGATGTAATTTTGGCTTTGGCACTTTCAATAAGGCCTTGTATGATCAATGCTATTGCATTGTCAGAGAAAGAATGGGCCTCTAGCAGGGATTAACTTTGATAGGAGTCTAATTTTTATTTGTAGTAAAGCTTCAGGCCTGGTTCTCTTTAAGCAATGTTTTTTCTTTACTGTGCTGCTGTTATAGGACTGCATTTTATTGCTTGTTCAAGTTAGCTTGACCATCACCATGAAGTATATGTAGAGTCGACAAACTAATATTTTTATAAGCTGAAACTATCAAGCAACTCTAGTTACATTTTTAAAATCAAGCTTCTATGTAATTATTCTGACTACAGGTTTTCTTTTTTTTTTTTTTTTTTTAAAGGGATAGTTTGAATTTTGGTAAGCAATCATACCTAGGTTTTTAGCATTCTTTTTCAGTCTTTTCCTTTCAGAGGCTTTTTGAAAATTAGATGCTGCCTCAGTGAACAACTACAGTGAAATTGAACCCAGAAGTTATTGGCCAAACTACAGAGGAGCTAAAATGCTGCTATAAGCTTGATCCACTGTCTTAACACATAGCCTTTTTTCTTTTGGGTCATCAGAAGATCTCAAAAGTTTTGTTTTGACCATATCTGAATATGACAAAATGGACCTCAACACAATATTGTATCAAGCACAGTTCTTAAAGTTCAAGGCTTTTGTCCAGTGGAGTCCCCTTGAAGTGCCAGATGTTATTTATGTAATGAATGTTTTTTTTAAGAAAGACAACTAGTCCCTCCCAGAAACTCATGCTTTTTTCTATCTACTTTGTAACTGCATGACATAACATGGAGAGAAGAGCAGTTATTAAAAAAAAAGTTGACCTTTCCAAACCTACTATGTTGGTGTATTACTGTCTTCTATTTCATGAAATAGCCTTCAGGTTTTTTCAAACTGAATTGTCACAACACATTTGTATATTCCCTACCTGGCTACTGGTAAGAGACTGTCTTTTAGTTATTGAAAGGGGCTCACTAATACAGATCTCTATATATCAAACTTGCCAGTCAACAAGATGGCTGGAGTTATATATGGCCTAAATAGTTTCAGGTCTTTAACATGTTCCTGTAAATTTGTATGGAGAACTGCTCTAGCAGTGGGAACTACTCTCGTAGTTATCTTGGAGCTATAGGATACATTTATCCAATAGCTTGCTCCATCACAAATACTAATAGCTAGGGTTATAAAAGTGCTTTCAATCACCTAAATGCAGCATAAATACCTTGACATTTATTAAAAAAAAGAAAGCTGTGAGCACGACGTAAGTACTGTGATCAAGGCATAGATCTCTAAACACAAGATCTGTATCTTGGATCATATTTTCAGGTGCAGATGCTAGATAATTACACAAAACTAAGACTGCATGTCTCTGGCAACTTGCAGTCTACTTCGGTTAAAACTCGTAGAACAAAAATTCACAAATTGTATTATTGAAAATTAATCTTAAAAGCTGATATACACTATCTGATGACATGGTTAGTGAAAGCAGAGTGCAGTAGCAGTAAAGAAACTTGGCTAATTGTCTGTTTTCTCCCCCCCATCCTTCTCTCTAGTAAACTATTATCTCACTACTTCTATCTGGCTGTGCAAACAGGAAGAGTGGGACCCTTTCAGTACTGGAGCACATAGGAGGCCAGCACAGGTAGCTAACTGGGGAATTTTCTACCTCCTGTCCTGGCTGAAGAGAAAAAAAGGTAATAGCTGTGCAGTGCCTAGCTTTAAATCCCCCAGTTCATTAGCATCTTACAGTCTTATAATACCCACCCATTTGTATGTGATTTCCCAGGAGCTTCTGTAAGGTATCCTCAAAGAAATCAGACCTACCACCAGCCATGATTTCACCAAACCTAGAGATGAGCCTTTACCAGAGAGAAGCCTTTACAACTGACTGAATTTCTCCCTCAGCCCATTTGGCTGCACTGACCTTTTGTTAACGGTGTCACTGTGGAGACCTGTGAGGCACAACTTTCAGCATAAGGAGAACTTGGGGTACTTTCTGACAGAGACTGGATTCTTGATAAGACTGACCTTTGGGGTTTGACTTCAGATTACAGCAGATCTGAAGATTTGCCCTTTGCCTGTAGCTAAATGCAAGAACCAAGTTGTATTGGTGAATCCAGACTTCTGGTGATTGATGCCCTGCACTGATGTCCTACATTAAAAGGTGCACTAGTACTGAGTGTAAGTGCAACATGGAGCTCAGTTCCATTGTCATTACATAGTTAAGGAAAAAAAAAAAAAAAAAATGTTCCTTATCACATTTTTAGCACCTCCCTCTCTCTCAACCAGGCAACAGCAACACACAAAAGAAGTAGTAAAACTTCACATATTTGCTGTGAGCAACCCTAGCCTTTTTGTAGCCACAGCTGAAAAAAGCAGTCATGCCCTAGGACATAGATTATAAATATAACCATAAGGTTTTATTGCAATAACTATAACAGGAATTCAGTCTGAGATCAAACTTTATGAAGAACTCCCCTCCTTGCACTTGCCACACACATTTTGCCTCCAGCTAGCATCACTGTCACTGCTTGCATTCACTGACACGCCACTACACGCTTCACCAATAAATTTGCCAGGATGCTTGGTAGGGAGCCAGTCAATGCTTCAAGTCTGATTTGAGCAGATTTGAAATGGTTTTGAACCATGCCTACTAGCTAGAGCAAGTACTACGGGGGTAGTTGTAGCTGAATCCCAATAAAGACAACTACAGTTTTCAGTTACCTGCATCCTGCAAGCTACAAAATATGAAAAAATCCGTTTTACTGGCTATTTTGTATGCCAATCGTTTCTCATCCCAGCAGAGAAATGAGTACTACATCAGTTTTCACTGAAGGCTCCTGTTACCATCAGGAGAAAGTGCTGTAACGATGATAATTCTCACTGTGATGCTAAATTATTTCTAAATTATACTGTTAAAAAGTAGCAAGTTTGTAGTATCCATTTCCTCATCGAAGTAGCAGATCAGTTCTTCTCTCATTGCTCTTGAAGTTCATACACATGCAGGGTGGCAACTTTGTTTCAGCCCACTTGTTCTTGGTTCTTCTGGCTCATGTTTCATTACTGTCTGTCTGCATTTGATGGGAACCATGCAAATGATGCCTCCTTTGATGTACTGTGCACTGCATTACAGATCAACACTTTGCTGTGGAGAGCTGTTGAAGTTGCACTGACAATCCAGCCCAGGCAGCATTAAGCAGTTCAGCAGTGAGTTAAGTGCTTGGCCAGCAGTTTTTGCTGTTAGCATTGGTTCCAGTGTCGTGGCACTGTTTTATGGTTGTTCTGTACACCTTAAACATGCTTCAGCCTTTATTTGCACAATTCCTAATCACCATTTTACAGATAAGATCACAAGTGAGAGCAGTCACAGAATAGGTACATACCTTTTCTTGAAATGGGTGTTCATGTGCTCAGCTTCTGAGACTTGCTCTGATGGGGCCCTAACTTTAGCTCAGTGACTAAACAGGAGAGGACCCCAAATTGCAAGTCCTTGGCTTGTGTTGTGTCCACTCACAACTATCCCGTAGCTCACACAAAGATATGGTGCTTGGCTGGATTAACAACATAGTACCACTTCAGCAGTCTGCTCTGTGCAGTAATCCAGTCTTTCTACATCAATGACTATGATTCAATGTGTGTAATCAAAGTAATCCCAAAGAATGCACACAAACCATGTAGATTATAGGGATTTTATTTATTTAAGAGTACATGCAGTAGAAATTTTACAAAAAGTTCAGTGGTGTTACATTATTATCCTCATTGTCCAAAGCTTTTGCCCCAGGAAGTTGCTTGATTTGCTACGTTTTTTACAGCTTTTTCTCCAGTTTCAGCAACTTTGTAGACTTCATCAAGAGCTTTTAAAACAGAAAAACAAAGATAAACTGTAGAATTCCTGCAATAGTTGCTCTTTCTCACCAGGTGTGGGTGGGAGAGGTCTGGATGGGATAATAGGAGGCACTGAAGGAGTCTGGTTGTGGTACAGTTCTGCCCAGGCAGGCAAAGTGGCTGATGTGGCCTTGTTGCTTTTGGCTGGTCAGCCCTGGGACCACAACACAGCCCTACTAGGAGACAGCTGCATCCCCAGAGCCCCCACATCAGCACTGAAGTGCTGTAGTCTGGGTGGAGAGTACTGGGAAAGCAGGGCTCCTCCCTGCTGCTGCAGTTATTGAGGGCACCAACGCATCCAGGAGCCTCTCACAAGATGAGGGGTGCTGGGGCAGGGGTGAGGGATCTATCTGGGATTTCACTGGAATGGCATTTAAAGAAGTAGAAACAGTATTGTACCTTTCTGACCAGCATCCTTAGCCTGATCCACTGCTTGCTGCACAGTCTGACCCACTGTGTTAACTGGAATTAAGAAAACATAAGCATAAATTAAGCAGTCTATCTTTCTCCAAAATTCAGTAATGACAACTTTGAAGGGTTGCCTAAAAAAAGGGGGGGTGTAAACAGCCTTCAGTTCAGCCTGTATGTTTTATTGACGTTGGCTCCAAATGCTGCCTTCTAAAGGCATTGATCTGCTCTGCCCAGCAGCCACTGCAGGACAGGCTGAGTGAGCCAGAAAGAGAAGAGCATGCAAGCACGCTGTGAGGGGCTATTGCTTGGGTGAGAGGACAGCAACGAAGCTTTAGACACCCCCCACCCCCCTAAGAACTCCTCCAGGCTTGGACTGAATGGCTTTCCAGCAGTACCTGTTGCATTAACACTGTCTCATAAACCAGCAGCCTATTTCAACCTCAGTTTCTATGAGCTTTTACTGCTTAAAAGTTATGCTAATTATCACCATGCATCATCTTTTGATGCAGCTTACTAACTGGTGGATGATGCAGGCTGATCAAGGCTAAGGAAAATGCTTTCTGTACCAATCCCAGGTCACATCCAAGTTCATGGCTCCCTGTAGGAGCTCTGGAGCAGGTGCCAATTTTAGATGCTTGCAAAGAGCAGTTGTTCCACTCTAAACTTAGCAATGGCTCAGGGGACTAAGCCCTCAGGGTACACGCAGGCACCACTCAAATATTTCAAAGATAATTTAATTAATAGCTGCAGAACCACCAGTTGGACAGTCTTGTTGTGCTTTGAAAGAAATGGCACAACAACCTCCTTCCCCCTTTTGTTTTCATTTAATGGGGATTCGGAGGATACCTCCACTGATAATACTTCCAAGACTGGGTGCAGCACTGGCAGCGACACAGCACAAGTTGAGCACCACGTGCTGTTTATTTACTGCCTCTCAGCAAGGCATGCGGCAGCGCATGGAAGTGGCCAGAGTCAGGCCAGTGCCTGGAAGCTCCTGTTGTTGCTCCAGCTCCATCTGGAAGAGAAGCTGGACTGCAACATGGGGCACGCTGGAAAGATGCGCGTGGGGTTCAGGCCAAGGTGTCTGCTGGTATCCAAAGAGCTGGTTCAGCATCAAGCACTTTGGGCAAAAGGGGAAAGTGACATGCTAAAATGGACAAATGCCACGTTTAAAACTTCCGTGTTAGTCTTCTAGCAGAAAAAAAAAACAAACAAACAAAAAAAAAAAAAAAAACAAAAAAACAGTAATGTTCTTCTAATATTAAGGAACAGAGCATTAATATTAAAAGCCCTCCACAAAAAAAAAAACAAAAAAAAACACACACACACATACCTAGGGCCACTGTATAGTAAAAGCAAAAAAGCAAGAGGGAATCTTCATTCAAAAACAAAAAGTGGTGGTTACCCTCTGCTCAATTCCTGGTGTTTTTATTTCGTGGTTCAGCATAAACATAGTTGGTTTAAGAATCAACTCAAATTCTTAGGAAAAGGGGGTAGTGGGTGTGAGGTTAGGGCTCTCATCTCCTAGCAAGCTGACCCAGGAATAGATGGTAAATTAGTAGCAGGTTTAACACTTGCCTCACTGAGCACTGCCTGGCGATCTGCTCATTAAGAGATTCTTTTTTAATATTATTTCCTATTTCGACTGCATTTGAGGTCACAGTATCCAGTTTCAAGACTCACTTTCCATGATGTTAGGTAATCTCAACCATTCACTTTATATGAAGCACTAACACCTCAGGAATTGCATCACTACAGTGCCTGCTTGGCTTCACCAGCAGTGGCTCACCTCAGTGGCACACTACTTAATTCTGGGCAAATGCTGGAAGTGTGTCACAGCAGCAAGCCTCAGGTGCCCAAGCCCCAGTGATTACAACAAAGCTTTTAGTGGCATGAGTAGCTACAACATCAGCTGGGCTGGAACAGATCAAAGAGCTCAGCGCCTCAGGAAGCTAATCCATTACACTACTTCAAAACTCGTATTTATCATGGCTGTTCATAGTTAAAAAAAAAAAAAGCCTAAGTCATCTCACCTCCTCTATCAGCTTTCTACCATCCTCTCATCTCTTCAGGACATCATCTAGATACCCACTTGTTAAAAGTGAGCAGAAGTATGTAGAAATCAGTAGTTCATACTGGTCCCTCACTTACTGTAGTACCACAGGGTTTTGGAGACATACCAACCACAGCCCTGAGGAGAGCATCTATAAAGCCAAGTTCACACATGAGACATTTGCTCCATGCTACAGGACAGAAAGCCCACTGGAGTGCAAGGAGGGCACATACTTGAACACCTAAAAAGAGGTACAAGCAGAGGGAAATAGTGGTTTGCATTTACCTGCCCCCTGTGCAGCACTTTCAGCTTGTTGTGTTGCTTCCTCAGCGAGCTTCTTCCCAATCCCAAACATGGCTGTTTTCAGTCTGCTCTCTCCACAGAGGATGAGTGATCAGGTCCCTAAGTTTGGTTCTGTTACAGTGTTCAGCAAAGTGCAGCTTTTTATAGACAAAGCAGAACTCCTCCCAGTAGTTAGAGGGCAAATGCAGGCTGGAGCACGGGATAGCTGTGAGCCCTTGTTAGGTGATTAATATACGATGCATAAAAGGGTGAACAGACATTGCTGTTTGTTGTGCTTTCCTCCCCAGAGAGGGGGTGTGGATTAATCAGCAGAAGTTTTCCATAGCCCAGGAATAAAAGCTTTGTTTTTCCATGGCAAGAAGTTGGTAAACAGAGCGCATTCCACAGCTGTCCTTATGAAACCTTCCCAGGAGGCTGCTGGGGACAGAAAAACATCCAAAATCCTCAGCTGAAGAATTGCCTAAACCAGCTCTGATATTTCAAAGCCTTACATAGAAAAGTATCCAGTTTCAGAGGATTCTTGCCGACTTTTTCCCCCTTCAGTCAAGACTTAAAACGCCGAGTTAAAAAAAGAAACACGCAGAGCTAACATTGCTTTTTTAAAAAAGTATGTGATGAAATCTTTGTTGTGTTAGACAAGCCTAATAATTTCATGGTGTGTCATAACATTTTAACTCTCCATTTCCAATACCCGTCTGGGGAAGCTGAAAATGGAAGGCTGGTGCCCAGTGCACGCTTGCAGGGTCTGGCTCAAGGAACAGTTACAGACGGGTTTTTCCAATAGCAAAACACTGCAAGCCCATGGTGCTCCCACCCTGCTGGGTAGGACAGGATGTGGCAGCAGGCCATCGCTGTGCTGGAGGCTGCCAAGTATGTCCTGCTCACGCTGTACCAGAGGAGCAGGATGCGGCCCTGCCTCTGGATATCCCTGTGCTAGGGAGTATAGTTGTGACAGGGAAAGGAAGAGGCAGAAAGCATCAGGGCAATTCATCCCCACTCCATTTTCTCCAAGAGAGCTCCTGTACGCTACCCAGCTATTCATACCCATGGTGACCAGGCCTGTATTTTGCTGAGATCACCTGCTTTCTAGTAGAGTTGCTTTTTGCACCCTTCCACACTACGTACAAGCATCTCTCACTCTGTTCATCAAACAATTGTTGCAAAAGTAGATAGAAATGTAATGTACCGTAAAACAAGATGCTGACTAGGCAGCCTGGTCTGCTCACAGCAGGCTCTATGAGTACCTGTCTCTACCCCAAACATTAAGCTTCATGAACAGCTCCTCTACAATTTGCCCACCTGTGTACGAATTGTGAAGACATTTTACCATTGCAGTTCCAGTTTTACCATTGCAGTTTACGTAGTAAAGAGACATTTTACCATTGCAGTTCCTCACTGACATAGAGTAGGCCATTGCACTCAATTGTACAGGACACAGAGGGATTTCTGACCATGGAGAGGGACATATCTACATATTATCTTCTGACAGCATATATGAAAACAATTTTTACCAAAATGTACTTAAAAAAACAACAATAGCATGACAAACATTTAAAGTTTTCCCTGAAGTTAAGAGAACTTGACAGAATATAGGAACTGATTAAGGAGGCATTGGGGAGGCAAGGACAATCCCCAGACAAGGACTGTATATCTCGAAACAAGACACTGGAACTCATAATAAGGAAGCGGCAGACGGACAGAGAAACAAATGCAAGGACTATAAATCTCAAACTGGACAGAGAAACAAATGCAAGGACTATAAATCTCAAAACTGGACATTGGAATTCATTATAAAGATACAACAAATGGAAGAATTAGCAACAACCAGCGCTTGCAGTTAAGAAACATGCCAACTCAGCAGATTCCTGACCAAAGGTGAAAAGTACACTGTGAGGAAGACTCGGGGTCTTCCTCCCAAAGACCCCTGCCCACAATTCTTGGGAGGCTCTACGCAGGCGCAAGGTGCCAAAAGGCTAATTAGCATGAGAAGCGAGGGAAGGCGGGGATAGGTAATGAATATGTATAGGCGCTTGTAGAATATTGATAGATTGATTGTATAAATTCAAGACTGCTTTCCGCTTTGGGTAGGCGCGATAGGTGGAGAGATTCCCCGTGCATCCAGCGCTCCAATAAAGAATATACCACTTAAAGGAATTTCAGCTTCGATCTTTGAATCAGAACAAACATACAACGTAGCAAAACCCTGAAATATTTCTGACAACCCAGAACAGCATTTGACCTGTGGAAAACCATTGCACAATGCCAGAGCAGTAAAAAATTCACCTATTGTTCTCTACAACATCCTCAGTTATCCACACCTAGATCCATTTTCAGGAAACAGCAACTTCCTAGTCCTGTACTGCTACTGCTCCAGTTATTCACAGTACGAGATTCATGAGGGCAACAAGCCTTACAAATCAGCCACAGGCTTGCACATTTCACAAAACAACGGTTTGCCTTAGTCAGAGGCACCAAAAACACCTCTCTTCAGCACCAAGGGCACAGTCTGAAGACACCAAGGCACAAGCAGGTACCCGGGCCAAGCTCAGTCAACCACCATAGGCAAACACTGGCAGAATGTGCAAGAAAAAAAATCCAGTACCTTTCATCACCAGCCTAAGCTGTAGGACATCTACACCCTCTGTGACAGGTAGCCACTGCCACCACACACCACCCCGTTCTCCCCCAGATCATGGAATCCCCTCGCACTCCTACCTTTCTGCTGTCTTCCCCTCACACCCGCAGCCAGGCCTCCTGGCAGCCATTTTGTGGCCTCCCCAGCCAGGGCCCCAGGCCCCCCGGCAGCCATTTTGTGGCCTCCCCAGCCAGAGCCCCAGGCCCCCCGGCAGCCATTTTGTGGCCTGCCCAGCCAGGCCTCAGCTGGGGCAGGGGGAGGCAGTTTCAGGAAGGTTCTGTGCCCTGCCCCGCCACAGCAGGGCCATTATTTGCCAAACCTGGCCAGGGTGAGGGGGTAATTGTTGCAAGTGGTAAGAGATAGCTCTGAAGGGAAGATCATCCTCCACAAGCGGCAACTGCCAGTGAACCTGCTGCTACCTGGGATTCTGGGAGCAGACAGCGTTGGCAATGCCAAGGGAGGTTTGACAAGTTCATAGGCAGATCTGTCCATACACGGACAGGGAGCAGGCCAGGATGGCCCCTCTAACATCTGCAGTCCAGCTCTTATGGTTACTTGGACAACAAGAAAGAACAGGCTGCAGAACGTCCAAGCTTGCCAGAATCCCCCAAATCTCCATTGCTATTGCCACGGCTTGGTACTGCTCCTGTTGTTTGCACTGGCACTTCTTGAGGTCACGACACAACAGCACAGTGCAAAGCAGCCTCCACGGCAGCTTCACCAGCAGCCACCTGTACCCCATCCATCCCCATCCTGTCCCTGTCCCTGTCCCACCACTCAGCCCCAGGGCCTGGGGGAGCGGCTGCCTGTGGAGGGCCAGGAGGGCTGCGGGGCCAGGGGTGCAGCAGGTGCCATGCTGACAGCACAGATACTGATTTGGGAGGGTGCGTCCTGCAGGACAGAGGCTGTATTCCATAAACCCATGTGCCCTGGGTTGGGCACGTGACAGAGGCAGAAGCTAAAGCAAGCAGGCATGAGAGCAGGAACCGGGGGAAACTGAGGCAGGGTGCCATTCTGGTGGCCAGCTATGGGGCTGGCTATGCTGAGCCCAGCAGGAGAGGCAGCCATGGCTTCCCCTAGCCAGGGCTCAGTTAATGTTTAACACTGCATGCCTCCCTGGGCATGCAAGCCCATGCTGCACAGAGTGTTTTTGTTCTCTGCCACCTAGGTTTAACACACACTCTGCTGGCACAGCTCCTAGAAGTAACCCTGAGCGCTAGAAATGCTAAAGGGAGGTGGTTCTTGCTGGGGCAGGTCTGCAAGTTATTCAAAAAGGGAAAAGGTATATGTTCAAACTACTTTTAAATGGGAAGAAGTAGCTACTTATGAACAGGAATTGCTTGCCTGAAATTCCTGGCAATTTGCTATCTGAATATTTTGACATTTCCTATCAAAAGGGAAGCTAGAGGCATGGCCTCTGTGGCCCCTGCATGCCCAAAGGCTGAGGGGCTTTCCCCAGCCAGCAGCAGGACAAGGTGCTGCAGCCACAGGGCTCGGGGCAGGCTGCAAACCGCCCGGGGAGTGGGGTCGAGCGTGAAACCGACTGCGTGGCCCCGGGTGGCAGCCGTGGGCTCCTGCCCCACACCGTGGCCGGAGAGGGAAACAGCAGGGAAAGAGGACAGACCAGTGCCTGGGGGACACGCGAGCTGCTTGACAAGAGAACGGAAAAACGTCTGGAAAACTGAAAATATACGTGTGTTTCTGTTGCAGAGAAGACTCTCTGGATTTTGTACATCTTTACTAAATAAAAATGAGTTTGGGAAAAGTTATTAGGAGCAGCTGAGACGGTAGACTCAGTTCAGATCTCATCCTTTAGGATTACAGGCTGAGTTGTCCCTACTGCTACCACCGATGACAATCAGGGAAACAGCCCTAGTGAATGGACTGCTGCAGCCAAAGCTGAAATGGGTACAAGGAGTTCATAAAACTCCATTCCTTGATAGCCCAAAGGTATTTATTTGCTGGCAGCATTTACCTGTGCAGGTGGGTCCAGGCTGGGACTGAATCTGCTTTGATCAGACCTCAAGGCTCAGCCAGCTAGGGGCACACCCAGGAACAAATTTTAGGGAATCTGAGAACACAGCTGGTGGAAGCTCAGGTGTTAGATAACAACACGTGTCCCTGTGGCTCGTGGCACATGAGCCGGTAGGAGCTGTAAGGCTCTCGTTTTGCTTTGATGCACTATCCAGAGCCTTTTGGTTTAGACAGGAATACACAGCACTCGGTTGGGAGCTGGCTGCCTGTGTGGTGCACAAGGGAAGGATGAGCCCCAAATACTTCAGGCCAAAGAGCACTGTGAACAAGGTGGTGATCTAATTTGTGGAGCAAAGCTCTAAAGTTTAGCCCTAGAAATACTTGCCAGTAAGTGACTCAGCCTCATGGGTGCCTGTGCAACAGCATCTGCCCTCAGGACAAAGGAGCTGTGACAAACTCTGCTCAGGCTCCTGGGATCAGTGCTGAAGCAGCAAGGGCTTCGTGTCACGTCCCTGCTCCTGGCACTGAGTGCTGGGAGTTGCCTCCTGGTGCTCCTTAGCCAGACGGACACTGGCATTTCTGCCCAGTGGAGGAGGGGGCTGGCCTCCAGCGTGCCCCCCGCCTGGCAGTCCCCTCTGTGGCTGCAGCGAGGCAACGTGCAACCTGCATGCTGAGTGTCTGGCCTGTACCAGGAGCACAGAGCACCACGAACAGTATCAGTTGTTTAAGACAATAAGTGGTTTTACTGGGAAAACCAGAACAAACACACACCATAACTGCCGATCTTTTTGGTAATATGAACTAAGAAATGCTTTGCAGAAAATAAAGTGTAGTGAAGACCAGTGCGTGGCCTACTGTTACCCACAAACGCAACACCAAGCTGTGAAATTCCAGCCTAAGTGCTCATTTTCGGAAGATTTCACCATGAGGGAAGTAACCATGGAAAGTACTAAATAATTAAGTACTATTGAGTGTCACCTGGTAACTGACAGTGCAATAGTGTTGCTCTTTTTCTGTGAGCTTGCACTTGGGTAAATATTTAGGCTTTTAGAGCTTTAAATGACAGTGGACATTGCATTGGGACACTCAGTGCAAAGCCCTGGACTATGTTTGCTCACAGGTGATGCATCACGTATAGGTTCCTCTAAAGGTTTTTCAGTCTGTGCAGTCCTAAGCAGATTGCAGCCAATTCTCAGTGCTCTTCCTGTTCAACAGTGGGCTGCTCTGTCCCAGGACTGCACCAGCAAACATCAGAGCTTACACAAATCCCTTGTCACCCTCAGCTCTTGGCCAGCAGGTGTGAGACAATGGTGTTTAAACCTGGCCTGGGCTGCCCTGTTTCTTTAGATCCAGATGCCTTTAGTCTTTGGTTTTCTTTTGTAAGGCCCAAATTAGCTTTTTACCCAAAACAGACTGGTGAGGCTTCAATACAGTCAAAAAAAAAAAAAAAAAAAAAAAAAAAGAAAGGCAAATATTGCCAAAATTGCTTAGCAATGAGAAACATCCAAAGGCAAAGGTAAGAGCACTTACTGTGAATAAGTGGGTAATAGTGCCTTCTGTTGACAAAGGAAAGCCTAAGTGGGCATCCTGTCAGGCTGCAGCCAGGCTCTGATTGCTCAGCAATCAGCAATTTAAAATAAATATTTCCATCTCCCAGGCCAGCAGATTGCCCACTCTGCTCTCCAGCACAGCCAGCTCTAAGCACCAACGCCTCGAGAGCGGGTACCCGCTGTGCCGTGTGTGCTGTACCTGTGACCAGTGCTCAGGGACTGCTGCTCATTGCACCTACCTTATGGGACGGTCACTGGCCTCTTTGGGCTTCAAATCAAAAGCAAAAGAGACTGGCAGGACATGGTGCGATCCTTTACTGAAAGCCCAATGACGCAGCAAGAGTACTTTACAAGGTGATATATTTCGGGGAGGCGGAGGGGTGGAAATCTTAATAGTACTTTTTATTTATCTCAATCTGAAAATACAGCAAAATAGAATGAGTGAACAACCGCCATGAAATATAACACCAGCTTAACTTTTGATTACTGAGAGGAAACTTAATTTCATCATGTGAATATTCTGGTGCCCCAGAAAATTAACAGTTTTGCTATTTTTGTAAGTACACTCAACAAATGTGGCAACAATTATTGCACTGTTGTAAGAGCAGGGCAATAACATTGCTGAAGCCTTACGGTCCATTTTGAACAGAACATTGTGAACAGATGTTACAAGATGTGCTAAGAGATGTAATTTTCCTATAGGAAGGATAAGGAGAGCATTCTGCCTTACGATTTTGTACTTGGAGAGAGAGTAGTCATCCAGATCTCAAACAGCTTTCAGTTTTCCACACGCAGGAGTAGGGAGTTGCAGAACTAAGATGGATTTGACATGCAATACTGTTTGCTTAAATTAACATTATTTCTTAAGTCCACATTTTTTCCCAAAGCCAGACATGGCTTCTGCAGCTTGTCCAGTTGCTTTTTCTACACCATCCTGTGCTGTCTTGGAAGCCTTATCGATAACTGAAAGAGAGGGACAAAAATTAACAGATAAGCAAAAAGCTTGAAAGAATGCACCATGGTTTAATAGTTATGATGGGAAGGGGAAGTGTGAAAATGTTTACTCTATAAGAATACAGGGATATATCTTGCCAGCGTCAAGTGATAAGAAATGAGCTGCCAAAGCTCTGTGCTCGGCGCCCTTCCAGCTTGGATCATTAATGATTGACCCCGGCTGCTGCCTCAGCAGGCACTTGGGGCTGGCCTGGGCTTACCCCTGGGTGGACTCCTGCCCTCGGGGCTGGAGGAGGCGGGATGCATCACCAGCCTGCTGCATCCTCAGGGAGGGAGAACAAAGTTTTATCTGCTCTGTTGCCACAAGTTTTCTCTAAAGGAAGGCAAAGTCTGAGCACGAGGCTGAGTGCCATGCACCAGACATGGTGACCGGGGGCAGGTCATTGGTTGTGGGACATCTGCTGGTGAGCACATGGTGCTACCAAGGGGCAGATCCAGAGATCCTTTCTTTCCCAGGGGTTTTGTGAAAGGCCAAAATTGTCACTGACAGCAGAGGACTGTCATCCTGAGCGTGCCCATGGGACAGGGGGCAATGGGAGCTGCCTGCTGCATGTGTGTTCAGCTGCTCCATCTCCTGTTGACTTGAACCTAATTTCTCATACCTTTCTGGCTGGCATCTGTAATCTGGTTGACTGCATCCTGCGTAGCCTGTCCCAGTGAATTTGCTGTAATTAAGGACACAAAACATACATTTCCATCTGTTCACACTTATGCTCATAGGAGTTTCAGGTGTCAGTAGGCTTTCCCTGTTGGTGGCAGGTTATGTCCCTGCCACAGACACGCTGGGGCTGTGGGGTTTGCTCATGAGCACCCTATGAAGTATGGGTGCTGCCAGAGCAGGCTGCTGTGAGATTGTCATCAGCACTTACTGATAGCCGGGCACACAGATGACGGATCAGAAGATAAAAATATGAGGAGGAGATAAAGAAGCAAAGGTTAGCAGGGAGCTTGAATAAGGCATGGGGCTTCAAGTTGCTTATTTTGCACTACACTGGCTTTTATTATTTTGTACAGGTCATTATGCTTGGAGATCTTTGACCATCTCACGTGCACTGTCCCTGCCGGCTGCTGGGTTGTAGTGCCTTTCTTCAAGAAGGAAGAAAACACATTGAACAGAGCAGGACAGGAAAAGGGAGATTTTACAACAATCTCAATGAGCATGAAGAGAAGTAGAAGCTAAAGCAATAATGGATCGGCTCCAGAATATAAAGCACTAAAAGCACAAGACACAGTGTAGTCTTGTGCTATTGTAGCCAACCTGTGTGACAGCTTATCAAAGTGGCAGCTACCTTACCGCCTCTGCTAGAAGGTAAAATGGTCCCTCAATGCCAGGAATACATTCAGGAAGCAGCAAGGGTTATTTCAGTTTTTCAGAAAGGAGTACCACCAGGTCTCTGGGCCTACTCTACATTTGCTCCCAGATGTGCAGTACTCTACTCTACCTTATTCCAAGTCTAAAGAAGTCAGTGGAGTCACTCACAAGTTTCAGCTATACTGCAAAGTGCTTGCAGGATCTAAATGCAGCACTGTATTGAATACAAGTTATACCCTCCTAGGAATGGTCTGCACACAAACTCTAAAGATCATACTATAAAACGCTATAGTAAGCTATACACATTTTTTTTTTAATTCATTTAAAGGTGAAGCTATTATACTTTGCATTGCAAGGTTGGCTTCCAATGCACAGTGCTAATAACAATAGAGTTCTTGGTCCTACAACACGGGAATATTTATGACATATACACAGGCATTTTAAACCATGTAAAATCTGGTGGTCACTGATGGATAAGACTACAATAGAAACACACTTGTATTATTTCTTACAAACAGCCCATTTTGATCAATGTAGGTATTACTAGAAGGCATTGGTATTCAGGCCAAGTAGCAAACATTCAAGGCCAACTCCAACTCTTGAACAGAGAGCAGCTTAAAAACCACCACAGAGAATGGAAAAAGACCACACTGAGCAAAGTAAATGCTAAATACAAAAGGTCATTAGCGTTAAAAAAAAAAAAAAAAAAAGGCTCCAATGCTTCAAACCCACCAGGTTTAAGATCTGTTTGGGGAGAGCTGAAGGAGAACCGTGCTCAGCAGTGCCTGCACGATCTCTGCAGAGGCAGTGGTGGTCCCTGGGCTGTGCTGAGAGCCAGGGCTGGAGCCTGCTCCAGGTGATGGCCAAAACATAGCCCCAGGGATGGAGAGGAAAGGAAAAGCCATGCCCTGCTCTCAGTGTGGGCCTGCCTGCAAGCAGGGCAGCATCTCTTTGTCAGGACCTTTACTGTCCAGTCTCAAATGTTATCTGTTAACAGGAAGTCTAATCAGCTACAATGAAGCTAGAATTGTAGCTTCAGATTTTGGTTTGGGTAAGTGAAAGCAGATACTAACCCCCCTGCAAAAAGACAATGATATTCCATTTTTCTTACCAGCATCTTTTGCTGCACCTTCTGCCTGCTCCTTCAGTCCCTGGAAGCTTTTACTCGACATGGTGGCGCCTGATGCCTCTTTGCAGCCCTCTGGTTCAACACCTGGCAACGTACAGCACACTGTGAGGGGTGTCCTGCCCCGTCTGCTTTTATACATGTGCAAGGAGACCTGCCGATGCTTTTGGGGATGATTGGTGCGATGGGTGGAGTTTGAATTTGAGGAATGAGAACTGAAAATCTAAACAGAAAAGACGTTTATTTACCCTTCCCAATGAGAGGGTGTGCCCAGGTGGAGATTTCTGCTTCATCGCTTTGTCTTTGTTTATAAGTGCTTTTTTTTTTTTTTTAAATTCAAAACCAGAAAAAAAATCCTGTTCCACCATAACAGACAGAGAAAACCACTGAGCTAAGCTCCATAAAGAGGTCTGGAAAACTACTACAGAGTTCACCCTAGCCAAGCTGGCTTCCTCCTTCCTTCCTTCCCCAAGTGTTATGGCAGAGATGAACCTCCTGATGACAAGCTGCAGCCCAAACTTCATTTAGATTTTAGCAGTTTTAATCACAATGCACTTTTCTGCAATACTTTCTGATTGTGAGGGCTGTAATTTTACCTGTGTTTTCATATGAAAATGCAAATCTGGCATCCTCCCAGTTGCATGTTTATGTTGGATTGCAAAAAGCCAACATTGTGAAGGCCTTGCCTAGGCTGGGTGACAACTGGGAAAAAAAGAAAAAAAAAAGCTTGAAAAGAATGCACCATGGTTTAATATTTATAATGGGAAGGGGAAGTGTGAAAACGTTTACTCTATAAAAATGCAGGGCTTGCAGAGTTATGAAGCCATCTCAGAAAATTCCTGAAACGTCTTACATCATCTTTATTTACTTTGTGAGTTAACGTTACTTTTAAAGCTCACATGAAGCAAGAAAGACAAGAAAAAACACTATTTCCTAGTATGACTTCGTATTACAGATTTTGTTGGTACAGCAATGTTGTTTAAAATCATTTCCTCACCTAACATCACTACTTAAATAACAGTTTCTGGCTTTAACCTCTGGCATTTCACAGGTTCCTGCCAGCCTTTGAAATTTATGTTTTCTGCCACCAATCCTGTGCACAAAGAAACTCGGTACAAATAAACCGCTGTGCCTGGGCAGAGCTGAGGGGCAGTGGGTTTGCCAGCTTCGAGGCTCCTCATTACCAGCCTCCAGTGCACAAAGTGCCCTGGTTCAGACGTTCACGCTCATGGCCACATTCATCTTCCTGAGTAAAGCCTTTTTGTTGGGAAATGGGCACAAGAACAAGATACCGTGGATAAACTAGGGTGGGAAGTGACAGCTCTTGTAAGTTCAGTACTTCATTAGTACCCAAGTGAGCAAGAGCAGCAGAAAACAAGCCCAAACACAGACCGCTTCCCTCGGCGGCTTTATTCGGGCTGGCACTGCACAGAGCTCTTTTCAACTTCTGCACTGCTGGCACCGCTCACTTATTATTTCAGACAGCAATCCTCTTTCCTCCAAGACAGGTCAATTAGCATTTAGTTACGCATTCCCATCACATATCTTTCTTGATTCCTCGCTGATTTATTTTTTCTGATCAATTTTCTTAATTGGCTTTGCAAAAACTCTGATAAAAGACACCAATATTTTGGGGTTCGTGGCAGTTCTTTGACAAAAACACCACCACAGACCTACTTATCTTTCTTGCTCAAACCCGAGAAACTAGCAACAACAAAACCACAACAAACAGGCAGATTTCACCAGTTCTCAGCACCCTCAGCCAGCTTGCTGCCGCCTCGATTAACTGTGTGTGGAGTCGTGCTAGCAAAAGCAAGAAAGAGGCTTTCCAGCGTCCTCCAGGCAGGTTGTCACAGCTCCAGAGAGATGTCCTCCCATCTCTTCTGTGCTCAAGGGCCCCACTGGCTCTGGCTGAGGGAGTCTGCCTGGAAGGGAGAAAAGGAATTTGGATAACATTTGCAACTGAAACATGCTTGTACTGAATATTAAACAAGCCCTGTATTGTAAAAGTATTTTAGAGGCAGCACAGCAGTGGCTCCTACCCTGATGTAATCCTTATCATTAATATAACCCTTATCGTTAATATAATTGTCCCAACTACAGTAAACAAATAAATGAATACACAAATCCAAAACCATGTTAAGACAATTACATGTCCCCAACAAAATGACATGGTAAATCATTATAATACAATCCAGAATAGAAGAAATAATCATATTGGGCTAGTGCGTACCCTACCATGCAGAAATTCCAGGTAATACGTGCTCCACCATATCTCCATGGTAGGGTACGAATTAGCCCCACATGATGGGACCAAAAGGTCTGTGCATCAGGTGGCTTGCAGAGTTATGAAGCCACCTCAGAAAATTCCTGAAACGTCTTACATCATCTTTATTTACTTTGTGAGTTAATGTTACTTTTAAAGCTCACATGAAGCATTTAGGACTGATGTTAGGCATACATCAGAGTGCTCAGAAATAAAAAGGATGATTGACATGAGCAAATATGATGACCTGAATTTAATTTGCTCAGGAATTTGCAGCAGTTTGTTCCCGTGTTTTCATTTTGTTAGGAATATTGAGACGGCTAATGTAGATCAAATCTATTTCTGCTTTTACCGAATAAGTATTTCTCTAAAGTATTTAGCCTTGTCTTGGCCTCCAAAGGGAGTAATATCACAAGAGAAACAGACAGACTATTTAAGGAATAGCAAAAGTAAAAAGGTAACTTATTTCTAATTTTAGATGCATGAACTGTGCAAACTAACCATATGGCTTTACGTTAATTCCTGCAGGATACAGGTCACCTGACAGACGTTTCACCGAGCATCTCCCTATGCATGTTCATGCTGGGCTTGCCGTGGATCTCTCATGAGTGCCCTGGAAGTAACGAGCCCACGAGGTGTGGGTGGCCACCACCAGCCCCCCAGCACCAGCCTGTGCCTGCAGCTGCACTTCAGTGCACTCGTGGTGCCCTGGGGAGCACTCCAAGTGCTGTCTCTGCTTCGGTAGGAGTTAAGCTATCCTGAACATCTGGGTGAGCTTTTTCAATAACTTGGCGTCCTCATTAATCCCAGTCTTTGCTTTGACTCTATTGTATGCTTTTTGATAGTCTGCCACCATTGTCAGAGATGATCCATCCCTCTCCTGATGGACCTGACCTGCAAGTACTGTGGGATTGTTCATTTTGCTATTGTCAGCTCTCAACTGTGCTCTCTCAGGAAAAGAAAATCTAGGGGTGGGGCAGGGTACTATAAAGTATTTTGAAAGTTGTATGCCAACACCCTGTGGCCTCTGTGCTCTCAGTCTCTTCAGTTCTCCATGATATTGACCCACTGCTCCAGCCTCTAAGTACACCTACAGCTTTTTACTCCTCTTCCTCCCAAGGACTACCTCTTTCTCAATGGGTTTCCTGGTCTTGGGTTGCACCATTCAGTGTGTCCTAAGGTCAAATTGAAACACCCACAGGTGGAAAGTTGGTTTGGACTTTTGCCCCATTCAGTCCCTAGTATTTACTGAGACTGCAGACACTCCGCTTAACACCAGCTGTGGCACCAGGTTGTGCAGGCAGAGCTACATGCTGAGATTCCCCTAACATTTCAGGCTATTCTAAAAGTTACTCTGTGTGGGTGCATCACTTACATTGCTTGGCCAGAGCTGAGATGTTTCCAGCAGTTAGGTAAATACAATGATGCGTCAGGGCTGAAAAGTTTTGCACAAGTCACTCCTGAAGCTAACAAAGTATGTGACATCCAACATCTCCATTTGCTATAAGAGCCTGGCACTAGAGTGGCCAGGATGTGATGATTACCTTAAGAAACAGAACTGTTTGCTGACAAAAAAGATGTAATTATGCTAAGTCAAGTGTTACTCATTTAAAAGATCAAGCTAAAGCTGTTCTAATTAAACTAAATTAACCTTCCAGTTCAAATGTAGAAATTCAACTGGGAGAAAAGTAGGTCTGACTGAGTCTTACCTTGCAGGGGTAGTAATGTCCCCCAGAAATCCACAGTCAGGTCTGCTTCAGACTTGAGATTCAAATAAGGCCAGTATGTATGGACTTCTCCTGTAACTCCTGGATTGTCAGGCAATAAAAAAAAAAAAAAAAAGTAAAAAAAAATAAGTCTGGTCCTTAGATTATAAGAGTTAAAAAGATAAGAAAGCCTGGACTACCACCTTGAGGTCTGGCACAAGGTTGTGGAAGAGAGACCTGGTCCTGCTCTCCCAGGACTGGTGAGGTGCTGAGCAGGGCTCAAAGCTGAGGCGAGGACCATGGGATGGCCGTGGATATTTTCTAGATACATGGAAAGGAAGAAGAGCCGCAGGTCTTTGAGTTGAATTTTATTTAGGGCATGCATTATCTAGACATGAAAACTGGACTTTGTGGTGAAGTGGGGCTTTAAGAAGCCTATTATTACTTGATTTGCATTTAAATTAGCAAGCACAGGTTAAGGCATTCATGAGAGACCTGCTGCTTCCTTACCTGCACACCAGGCAAACCCCTTCGGAAACCCTGGCCTGCGTGTTCCTCAGCCCTTGGCTAAAGCCTGGTTGTGGGGGGACAACCCCCACAAGGACCAGGACTTGCGTCAGAACAAACCACTTGATCGAGCCTAACTCTGGTTTTACACTGAAAGTAAGTTCTGCTGTTATATGGAGGGAAACAAAGAAACAAACAAACAAATAAATAAATCAGTCTTTTTTTGGTCATTCGTACAGTAAAGCTGAACCTCCATGGAGCAGCGGCCATTCCTGCCTCATGGGACCACCGAGCTCCAGCCAAAAGCAGCGGGGATGGAAGCTGGCCTTGTCACCCCACAGCAGGACTGAATTAACATTTTTTATGAGAGCAGTGCCACGCTGACAAGGTCCACCTAAATAACTCACAGCATGAGATGTGCAGAAGAACCTCTTGGTCTCCCAGCTCACGGCCCATCAGCAGAAGACTTCTTTTGGCCTGTTCATCTCCATGAGCGCTCACCTGGGGCAGTGAGGTGGCCAGCGTTTCCCTCAGGCCCCACCATGGGATGTTGTCTGACATCTCCTCCACGCTCATGCTTTTCAGTTTCTTTCCATTGCCTGTAGTTATGTCTGTGTGAACACCCATTAAAAGCACAGGTGTCCTTCCTACACGGCGAACCAAATAGGTGCATGCAACAAAGCTTAATGAAGTAATTAGGAGACAAGCCCTCAGCTCTTTCACGCAGACCCTTCTCCCTCAGGGGAGGCACGTTTCCAGCTCCCTCACCTCTGTCAGGGCCACTGGGGCTGTGCCCTCCGCTCTCCTCACCCAGGCTGAGGCCAGCCCGAGGCAGCGGCGGGGAGGAAAAGGAGGCTGCCAAGCCCACGCGTGGGCAGGGTGAGGCAGGTGCTGCGGCAGGAGGAAAGGGCACGGCCTGACCTCCTGCCCGAGGCCCACGAACGGCCTTGGCAGCTCCGAGCACGGCTGGGATAGAGCAGGAGTGTGCAGGGGCCGAACCCACCCAGCCTGCCCAGGAAACTGCCCACTGGTGGCAGCAGAAGCAGAGCTTCAGGTATTTATGCAGTAGCTGGGCAGTGTTTTTAGTGTTTTAAAATCAAGATACAGGTGTGTAAACATCAGTTAAATCATTTCCTTCCCACAGGAAAAGCAATGCTGCAGCGTCCACAAGTGGCGTGCTGCAGGCCACTCCCACAGGCAGTTACAGACCTCGCTGCTGCAGCGCAGTGCCTCTGCACCCCTCGCTTTGCAATTCCAATTCTCCCTCTTAAGCTGTTCTGAACCAGGGCAAAGCCTGCAAGAGACAACAGGCGTCTGGGGAGTGGCTTCCTCCTTGCTTTGATTTACAATTTGGCTAGGCTGATGCGTGCCCCTACCTTCCCCATGTGCTGGAGCTAACAAGGGCGCTCAACTCCACCTTCCTTCTGCCTGGCAGAACATTTTTTTTGCATCACTGTTAAGCAAAGCTTCGGAGCAGGGGGTCTGTTTTCCTGCCTCTCTCCAGTGAGCACTAAGAATAGCCGCTAGCCTCCCACTGCTAAGCATGAGCATCACGACCCCTTACACCCTCTTATCTTGTCCTGAGCTTTTGTTATTTTATGGGTGAATTCTGTAGATGTTTTGCAAGGCATCAGAAGAGTGCACATGTTGGATATAAAGCCCTTTGAGGGACGTTGTTATCTCTGCTAGTGCTTTTTTGTTCCCTGCCCTTGTAGAGATCAAACATCTGCGAGGATGGAAATCTGTCACGCTCTGCAAGGCAGAGCTTTATAGATAGCATTAATAAGTGAGAGAGGCTGGTATTTCACTTGCTACTTCCTTCCACGCTACAGCTAGCCTCTCCTGCAGCGCCTTCAGTAGTTATCATTATGCCCCTTAATGAAGGTCAACAGCCTGATTTTGAAGCAGCCTAAATCTCTACAGGTTACACTGCTTTCTCTTGAATCCAGGGATGCTCTGCCTATTGGTGGATAAAAGATAACACTTTTAGATCCATACATATTGATGTGTTTTAAAATTATTCTTCAATATTTACAGAAATAAATTTGTAACATTTTTCAGTTCTCCACACTTGTGAATGCAGAAGGTCTCTACTGCCTCACCCAGCAGCTTACCTGCAGACTGCCTGGCTGTGGTAACTGATAGCAGCCCACATGTTCTCATCACAATAATAATTCTCTGACATCTGCTACCACACTCATTTCACAGTAATCCCACCTGCCCGTACCAGCAGTAACACACTTTAGATCTCACAGGCTCATGTCCGTCACGTTTCTTTAATCACACACTGGCTGTTCATTGCACCCAGAAGGCTGCAGGATAGGGTTTTCAAGCTCTGGTGTGCATAGGGTAAACAGCAATGAACAAATGCCATCTAAGCTCAAGGTGACTTTCACATTCCTTTATAAAGCACCCTTTTTCCCCAATTTCCCTCATGTACACTCTCTTAAACACAAGGGTATTCTTAAGAAGCGTGAAGCCTGTATTTAACTTTATTTACCTAAAAAGTGAAAGTCTTTATTTTTCAACCCTGAGAGACTGAAAGCTGGCCTACCTACGCTGCTGACTTCAGAAATACAAGTTGTCACTATTCCCCATCATTTACGTCATGATCTAAGGCCCTCACGGTCTGGAGATGCTTGTATTTTGGTGGCACACTTGCACAGGAAGAGATCCTCAGTTTGGAAGTACTGACACGTAAGCTGTGCAAATAAAATCAACATTTTTTTTTCAAACACTTTTTTATTAGTTTTAAAAAAAATAATAATCCACAATACCTAGAGATCCCAAGTGCCAGTGCAGGTGGACATGGGCCATGGATCAGTGAGCCCCACCAAAACAAACCAGAGCACCAGAACACGCAAAGCTGGGGGTCAGGAAGCCACAAAGGAAATGGAGGGGAGGGGGATCACCCCTGGTCAATGTTACACTTTCCTTACAATCGGGAGCCTGACTTACATTGTACAGTAAGGTTGGTTTATGAGGCAAATGAAAGACAACAGTGCTGAATGCAGTTAGTCTGTGGACAGCAGGACTTCCTTGTTGCAGTGTCAGCTAGTATTTCCATGTATGCTCTTGGGATTCCCTTTTTTGAGCTAGAAGTCATTAAGTTGATTAATTGCCTTCATTTTCACCCTGTGAGAGAAGTAAGAGGAGAACAGTTACATATTTTCACATGGAAAACATATATAAACTGTGGGACAGCCAGGGGTCTTTGGACTGAAGTTGGCAGGGCAATGCCACTTGGGCAGTGTTTGTCCATCTTGTGCAACAAGAGCTCTACTGCCCTCATTCAAGAGCTGGAACCGACCCCAAAACTGATGTTTGGCTTTAAAAGGGCATTGCAGCTAGAGTAGGGGAAAAAAAAAAATAAAGTCTGGTTGAGACCAGGGAAAAGCTATTCTGTGTGATGATAAAACCATAGGAAAACATTAGCTATTATATGTGTGTTTACATTCCAAAATAAGCCAAAATCAAGCAGTAGTTGACAATCTGTCACTCGTGGCAACCTCTTGGTCCTTAAAAAGGAAGCGGCAAAACAACCTCTGAGCTCAGCTCTCATCCAATAATTCATTAATAGGGAAACACCAATGGGCTTAATGTGCATCAGATTCACAATCACCACCGTACAGAGAGCAGAACCCTCCTGGGGAAAAACACCACCACGGAGGACAACCAGGTGCAGCCTCGAGCTGGGGGGCTGCAGGGAAGCTGGGCTGGGGCGTCCGTCTCCTTACCTCTCCGCTGCCTTCTGCGCTCCCAGCTGCGGCCGCCTCTTCCGCGGCCCCCGGCTGCTGCGGTGGGGCCAGCTCCTCCTGTCAAGCCACAGAGGAGAAGTTTGGTCTCAGCAGCATGAGCACAGACATCACCCTCAGCTCGGGCTGGCTGCCTGAGGGGGCTGCGCAAACTGGGTCTGAAGGGTACATGTGCGAGTAAAACGCTACAGCGGGGGGTACGTGTTGCTCTGAATCCATTTTTTGTGTAGCTTATTAGAGAGGAGGCCTAAGAAAAAGCAATTTGATTTCCTGCAGCCTGCCTTAGGGTCTACCATATGCAATATCAGTTCTTTTCCTGAGGTTTTATTTTGTGTCACTGAGATCAAAGATGATTTTGACCCTTTCTGTTTGAAGAAACTTGGGAGAAACAAACTTACACGGAGTACGATCATGCTCAGCCCCACGTTAACCCCACGTTATCCCATTTACCCTAAGCACTGGTTGCACAGACTAAACTAATTTTACATAGAAGCGTTGTGGTAGCATTAACATTACTCAGATAAAATTTTATGATCAAAAGACAAGCTTTTCTTTATGTTTGAAATCCAAGCATTTTTGTAAGCACTTTTTTTTTTTTTAGCTACTTCCCCACATCTTTCAGCTACCTTCCCATTCAAAGAAAAAGAAAAAAAATATATTACCGGAAATTACTTTAAAAGTGATTTTTACCACATGAGAAGAAACGACACAAATCCTGAACATGGTGGATGTGCACAGCAGATGCACAGAGAGCAGAGATGCACTTTTATGCAATTGGCATAGGTCATCGGCAAGAGCAGGAGGAAGCAGAAATAACAGGGCCTCTATGGAACAGCCCCACATCCCTGGGGAACAAATTAAAAAGCTTCCCTGGAGTCTGTCTCTACATCTGTGAGTGCTTTCCTGCTTTTTAGGACTGCATCTGGATGAAAATGCTATTAGGTACCCTTCACTTCTACATGTGTCCGTCCTGTCCCATCACAACCGCTCTCAGCAGTGGGAAACCAACACTGCTGCTTTTAGTACTGAATTAGGAAAGAAGACGTGATGTGAAATTAAAAGAAAAAAAAAAAAAAAAAAAAGCATGTATTTCACAGTTATGAGTATTAGGCAGATCCCTTGAAAATTTAAGCAGGAAATTGAGCTTCACGTTCTTTGTAAGAGATGGAGCCACCTGGAAAGACAATCGCCAAAGTACCAGTGGCAGCCCAGAAATCATTCCCACTGCAGCTTTGGGAATTCATTTCACCCAGCTCCTGAGATCTGACTTGTTTGTTTGTAAATAGAGCCTTGCACCGGGGGTGGCTCCATATGATGAGCGCAGAGGGATTTTTTCCCTAAGAAATGTGTGCTTAGTTTGTATTGCATTGCTGGCTGAGGTGATTATTGCCAGCATTGGTCAGGCCTGCGCCAAATGAGCCCAGGCACTCCAAAAATATTAAATCGTGCATGTGATGGAGATCTATATTCCAGCATAGCAGGGAGCTGAGGAGATCCCTCCCTCAGGACCCTGTTCAGGAAGCTGCACCTGAGCGAGGGGCGCGCTGCCGATGCCCCGTTGAGCCCCTGTGCTGCCTGGTGCATCCCTTACGTTGTGCTCTCTGTCAAGACTGAGTTACAAAGGGTAGGAGTGACTCACCCCTCTATTTATAGAAAGGGAAGCAACCATGCTTTCTGAGAGCTTTCCTAAGCAGTGGCGGCAGGAACCAGCACAATTGCAGGATGAAGAGGTGTCAGTCTGTGTTAAGGATTTCTCCTTGCAGCCTTTTTCTCACACGCTCCCCACCCTGCCCAGAATAGCCAGCACTAGAGGAGGACCGGCTGCATTCTTCAGCTGGGTGTTAGCTGGCCGGGCTTTTGGTGACTAGCCAGTAAAACAATACATACAGGGGGCCACGTGCTGTAAGGGGCTTCGTGATGGATGAGGAGCCAGAGATTCACAGGTACCAACCCCAGCTGTAACAGCAATACGCAGTGTGCTGCTGGGCACGAAGGCAGGGGTGAAAATCCAGCTTCTCATGAAGGACAGCAAGAGCTTTGACATTGCTGCCAGTGTTCATCCTCTAATTAAAAGGAATAAAATGTTCTAAGGGAAAGGCATGTTGCAACCATGACGTAACCTGTTAAATGTTTCTCCTGTTCTTAAACGACAACCAGATAATTATTTTTTTCCTCAGAAATATATTGTCTTAGAAAAATTATTTAAAATGGGGAAAAAAAAAAAACTCATTACGATTGGTATGGGCTGTTTTCTACTTTCTGGGGGGCAGGTGTTGAATTGTTTTGGCTAGAGTAGAGAGACAATGATTTAACATAATAGTTGAATGAAACAAAACCTTAGGATTCATTACAAGAATACTACATAGATTTTATATATAGATGCATATAGAATATATACACTATAGTAGATTTTTGTAAATAATCTCTCTCAAAGGTATGAACCATGGTTATCTGTTCAGATATCACTCATGAAAAACAAAAAAATAGGACCTGCCATTTCTAAAAGCTCCTGCAGAGTTGCATAGAGCATACTATCCATAGGCCTCTGGGTTTGGATATTTTAATATGTTCTGTAAAAACAGATTTTAAAAATTCACAGGTTTTGCAAATCAATTATTTACAATTTGATTCTCTGTTTCTACATTTCTCTATAGAATAGATTTCTGTTCATCTATATTGATTTCTGTTTTACAGGTTCTGTGAAATTCCTTTCTTCAGCTCACACTTGGAGCTGTATGCTTCTCTGTTTGTACATTAAATTGAATTCATATGTTTATCCATATTATGCTTTAGGCATTTTTTTTAACAGTCCCGCAAATTATGAGATAAATAGGGAGATAATCCTGATAAAGTTAAGGAGGCAGACTCTAAATGCTGGATGCTGAAATATGAGGTACCAAACACACAAATTCACTGGCAAGCAAGATTATTTGATATAAATAATTATTATTTTAAAGGTGTAGAACCACAGAGGTGCACTGGCAACCTACCCTGCCACAAATCTAACAGCCAGCCACGGGACATCAATGGCATGAGGCAGAGAAGGGCTCAGCCCTGTAGCAGCAGAGCACCTCGTGCTAGAGCACAAGTAATGCTGTTGGGTAGCCTTACCGAGCCCCCAGAAGCCTGTGAAGGGACTGTGGGGGGCTGCCTGGGGCTGAGCACAGTGGTACAATGCCGACAGCTCTGGCTGAGGGTCTCCCAGACACCAAAGCAAGCGCAGCCTCCCCCTGGCACTGTGGGTACGCAGGCCCAGGAGAACCCTCTGGGTGGTGGGGTTTTCATCTTCCTCACAGCCAGGCTGTTGAAGGGTTTCCTGGGGCTCTTATACAAATAAGACATTTTTTTATTGTATTTCAAACATTATCTGGCAGGATGGTCAGGGCACAGCCCTCAGGCAGGAACATGCTGGCCAAGCCTTGTGGAGTTCAAAGCCTCACGGGTGCTACTGACCTCCTGTTCTGCACGGGCAGGCGTGCAACGCCTGGGTGCACAAGTGAGAAAAGAGCCCAGGCTGCATGCTGAGCGGCCCTGTCAGCTTCTCCTTGTAATTCCTCTGGTGCAACCGTCTTCACATGAGCAGAATTAAGTACATGTACACGAACTGCTCCTATCCAAAACGCAGCGGTTATGAAAGCTGCAGGCTCGGGCACGGCACATGTGCACCAGACCCAGCCCAAGGAGGAAGAACGGGAGCCACAAACACACCCAGTGCTTGCACAGAACTGACACCTGCCAAAATCGTCCATGGAGCAAGAGGGAAAATGATCAAAACCAATTTAGCATGGCAGAGCTACGAGGTGACAACTAAACCATATGAAAACTGACAGGACAAATAGATGTAAAGGGAAGACTGAGGTGGAGGGAGAACTGCGGGGAAGCATTAGCTGCTGGGGAAATTCCCCCATCCCCAGGGATTTTTGGTGTGCGTGTGTGAGCCTGTGTGCTTAGGCACACGTGCTCGCTCCCAGCCACACGGTGTCTGCAATGCAGCAAACTTTGTGCTGTGTCATGCAGACAAACAATTAATCCTCTTCTCAGACAGGGATATTTAATGGGTGGTTATCTCACCGAAATCCCTCAACTGTCTACTGCAGGGACTGAGATGGGTACACAGCCACAGACAAAACCCATTATTGATGGGTCTTATTCCTTTGCAAATCAGAAAAATACGTGGAGTGTTTATAATCTTTTAACTTAAATATATTTTAAAAACTCCTCACAAACTGTTGGTCCTTTCACGTACTCAGTTAGCAGTGACCAGGGCAGCAACAAAGCCCTACCGTGCTGTGCCAATGCCACCAGGAAGAGCTGGGTTCTTCCAAGCCTACGCGCTCCCGTAAGCCAAAGTCACCATTTACTGCACCCGTGCTGCTCAAAGGCCCCATGGCGGCAGCCCAGAGCAAAATGTAACGATGAATCTCTCCTCCTTGCTCGTGGGTGTCTGTCACTGGCACCAGCTGTCAAACGTGCAGATTAAATGTCCACAAGCCACCCGTAATCGATACGAATACTGGGAACGTGCCTCCTTGGCCACCCGGCTCCTGCAGCACTGCTCACTGCCCCCACCTACCCACACAGACCCTCGCACAGAGCAGCCTCGCCATACAGCCAGCAGGGAGCTATGCTGGGGGCAGCTGAAGACAAAAGCAAGACTTCAGCAGCTGCTCTGTGCAGCAGAAAAGAAGGACCAGCTGGACATGGACAAGTCTCAGGACGGGACACAACAGCTATCCCAAACTTCAGGGCTGGAACACTTGCCTATAATCTCAGGATTGCAAGATTTTCACGGTACGTATTCCATTTTTAAACATCTAACTGCTATCCCTTTTCTGTTTTACTGCATCTCTAATGGGTCTCAAATGCATTACAGTGCCCCGAGCTGCTATTGGCAGCCTCTGGCTGCATTTCCATTAGCAAACTGAGCAGCAAGGTAGGCACAGGCCTGGAGAGAAATAAAGCAACTGGTGCAAGAGCCCAGCTTCCAGGCCTCCCCTCTGAGCAGCTCTGGCCCCATGGCCATCAGCCCACTTGCAGCCAGGACACGCTCAGGGTGCGTTCAGAGCACGGGTCCCTCGCTGGCACAGCTGAAGTATGGTGAGTGAGGATGACTGGCACTCCTAATCCAAACTGAACTACAGCACCAGAGTAGATGAACCCCTCTCTTTCACAAAAAATAACTTTTTTTTTTCCTTCCATTTATTTCTCCTGTGACTTGTTTGCTTTGCTCCCCCCCCCCCCCCCAAGTTTCATTCTGCTGCCCACCTCTGCTATTTGGCATGACACCGTGATATTGTATCAGAAGCAGTTTCCTGGCTCCCTCCTGTACGCTGCCCTTTGGCATGACACATCCTACATTTTTTTCCTCTTGATCAGCCCCCATTTTAACTCTAAGCAGGCGGGTATCGACAGAAGGTGCCAAAATGACAGTTCAGAAGCCTAATGCTGTGGAAAACTTGCCTATTGCTGCTCAGCCCTAGCCAGACGTGCAGGCAGCTCAGGTCTGAATGACAGACCTATGCCATCAGCAAATTCTTACCTCTCCAGGGCCAACCAGCCTCGTGCTTGGTCACTCAAAAGGTACAAGAAGTTGCCCACTCCTGCATATGGGGGATATATTTGCAGTCCTGCAGCCTAGCTGCTGGTTCCTGGAGCAGTAGAGATTAACCTTATACCAAGGGCTTAGCAGATCTTCTCTATCTGCCCTTTCTGCATGTTCACAGGACATTTTGCATCACTTGTAGCTGCTGTTCTCCTCTTTTGTTAGGCTATTCTCTCAGGATTTACGTGGTGTGTAAAAGCCCCATTTCACATCACAATGTGTTTACTTTCAGGTCAGGAAATTCATCAGCCAACTGTCTGAACAATTAAACCAAATTTGGCCAGCTTTGCTTTGCTTTGATTCTGGGTTTGGGTGTTTTGTGACTAATCTGGCTCACGTCACTATCAGCACTATTGAATGCAGCTCTGAAAAGAGGGCAAAAACAACCAGGCTTACCAAAGAGCTGCCAGCCTTGTGGCTCCTGAGGCTCTTTATACCATAGCGATGGTATAAGTGTCCCACAGAGGTTGTGGAGTCTCCATCTGTAGAGATAATTGACACCTGACAGGACACAGTCCTGGACTACTTGCTCTTATCCTGCTGTCACTGACGTTATGGGCCTCAGACTACATGATTCTGTGATTGTATATTAAGTATTTTGTAATAATATAAAGCATTATTTAATAACAGATATTGTTGAAAACCTTAAATAAGTGAAACCATAAACTGCAAACATTTGCAGATAATTTAAGCAAAATCCAAAGAAGACACCAAGATACCTTTTTTACAACTCCTGTAGTAGCCACGATGGTCTCTGCTCCTTCTACCGTCTTGTTCGCCACTGTGTTCACGCTGGCTACTACAGCTTCTCCCACCACGTTGGCCTGCTCCTTGGTCTTCTCAGCAACTGAGATTTCAACAGCAGCAGAAAGTCAGTGAGTGAGGCACTGTTAAAAGGCTGCCAAATTAGCTAGGACAATAAAACGGTTGCATCAAGGTAAGGGAAGGAATCAGCTCTGTTACAGACTTTATTTGGATTTTATTTATTTACTTATTTTTAATAGGAGAGCACATCAGAATTTAGAGCATATGTGTGAGGGCTTTGTCTCAACCAAAATGCTGCTCAGGGTGCTGCAGGTGCTGAAGCCATCATGGGTAAATGGGGAGTGAAAAATTCATTGTAAAATGATAAGAGATAATTGAGCAAATAAAGTATTTTGGATTTCAGACTGTGTATGACCTCTCTCCAGGTATCTTCTATTTGTCTGTTCTGTTTAATGTAATACAGCTGGGTAGAAAGTCAGGAAAGTCAGTCAGGAAATTCTCCGCAGAAGGGATCCATTCACCTCTCTTCAAGGCAGTCCAGACCATTCACTGCCTCAGAGCTTGTGGCTCCCAGAAAGGTCCCTGCGGGCCACTGGCAGGCCACTGTACCTGGCATGAGTCCCACAGAGCATGGCCGTGCCCCAGCAGGAGTTGAAGCAGGCACAGCCCCCTGCAGGCCACGCAGCACCTATGCCTTTGTGAAGCGCTGAAACTGCTGTCAATCAGCCCAGTCGGCCAAGTAACATTTGTTAGATGTGGTGTGTTTTTTTGTTTGTTTGTTTTTTTGACCTGCTCTGCTGATTAAATATTTTCTCCCACCCATGTGCACTGCAAATGCCAGACCCTGAACCCTTGCTCCTGGCAAGCGCTATCCATTCATCAAATGGAAGGTCACACAGATCAGTGGTGCTCCCCAGAGACCTTGCATTTGGCCTTATCAAGGGCTACAACAACCCATTACAGATTTCCACATCTCCCCCAGGGCTGTGCACTTACCTGAGGTTACACTTTGCACTACGCCTTCCTTGGTTTTGGTACCTGTGAAAGGAAACAAGTGGTCCGTCAGTGTTATCTAGCAAAGAACCTCTGGTGTCTGGACGTGGGTGGCTTTTTGGCCTTCTGAGGCATGGGGGGGGAGCCGTGGTACTGCTGGCAGCTCACACAGCCTGCAGAAAGGGTTGGCTTCCTTCCCCAGAGAAGCCAGGGGGTACCTTAGTGCAGGCAGTTGGGTAACTCCAACCACCCGTGGGCTGGAGATGCCCAGACTTGAAAAATCTTGATTCTAACAAGATTAAGTATGAAAAACCTGTCCCTGGCGTGCTTCCAAATGAACAGAACAGTTGAGTGGAGGTAAGTCAATGTTAGGCTAAGAGTCAAAACAAACACGTACTGGTAAAATCTCACTTATTTCACCCTTTCAAATGGAATTACACCTAGGACTCTCTCTTGCCTTTCAGCAGGGTATTGGGCTGCAGTGGTCATTTAAGGGTTCGCCCCATACTTTTAATAGACAGTCTGGAGAAACTCGAGGCTGACTACAACAAAGCCACCCACCTACTATGTACCTACTGCCTGGATTCCCACTTCAGTGCCTTGGACCAGGCGGTAAGTGCCTGCTGGTAGCAATAACCAGAATGCAGATGTTTGTATATACAATTATAAATACACACCATGTATATGCTTACGTTGTAACTTATCTTGCTGTTCTCAAGGCAGAAAAGCTAACAGGATGTGAGGCATTCAGTTTACAACAGAAGTAGCCCTTGAGGAATAATTAATCCCCACGGCTTTCCTCCAGGCATGAAATGACCTGCTGTACGTCCCTTCTGCTTGCGCGCCGCAGCACGTATGTTATGTGGAATCACGCAGGGGATGGGCAGCCCCCACCCCCAATAACTAGATGTCATTTCACAGTAGGGAAAAAACACTCCAAAAACAAAAAAAGGACCAAATCTCTCTGTTCGAAGTTGAGTACACACACACCAAAATGTTCCACTGGCTCCTTTGTGCTGCCTTTTGTACGTCATCTGTACCTATGCAGACTCCTTTCAAGTTTTCCATACTAACAAAACAAAATGGTTTTTATGGCCAGGTTTCAAAGCGATAGAAATACAGAGTGAGTCAGACCTTTAACTCCAGTGGTACTGGAGCATCCCCGGGTGTGGTGGGAGAAGTCAGCCACACCTCGTTCCCATTAACAGCCTGAAAACCAAAACAGGTGCAGGGCCCTGATAACAACAGCCTGAGCCCAGTTCTCTCCTGCCTGTCTGATATAATGGTATGTATTATTGAACGTAATTCTCAATTGTTAATTTATTTTAGTGGCTGCAGTGGTTGCCTAGGGCAGAACAAAGCTGTCCTGCTACAATGTGCCCTGAACATTTCCCTCTACCCTCCCAAACTGTGATAAAACTGAAGGGATGAAACGCTCACTTTGTGCTTGTTACGGCTGCAGACTGCATCTACTAATGATGCAGATGCTATGTGTGCACTGCTGTGAACTGGATTTTAAAATGATGTGCATGAGAGACAAGTGTGCGCAGATGCACAGCAGTGAGCAGAGCAGCTGCACACTGCATTTATGCCATGAACATGAGCTCCTGGATGGGCCGGGTGCACCAAAATCAGTTCAGATGGAGGCCTGAGGTAAACCAAGTACTTAATTTGCTGTCCTGGCCTCAGCTTTGCATTAAACATAGCAAGACAAGAGCTGTACTTCTGTACATTTATTTACACGGCTCTTGGTTTAAAGGCAGGTGGCACTGTTTGTGATAGACACAGGCAGAGGAAAAGCACCCGAACACATTTCGGGCAGGAGCAAGAGCAGCAGGAGGTGCTGCTGCCTGCAGCCCGGGGGGAGCCGGCCGCGCCCCGTGACTCAGCCGCCAGCTCCACACGCGGGCCGACCTTCTGCCAAGCGCCTCTGCCAGCACCCACAGCTGCTGAATCAGAAAGCGATCACCTGATGTTCAAGCTCATTTCACTCCTTAGTCCTCACCTGCGGCTGGTGTACACGGAATTAAGCGTTCATGCATCCTGCCCCTTCTGCAGGAGTGCTACGAGTCATCCTTGGGTGCTCTGTGCTGCAGGCGCGGGGCCAGGCCTGGGGTTCTGCCACGTGCGTGACTGAGAGGGGCTCTGGCAAAGCAGAAGTGCTTCTGAATGCCAATGTTAAATTACATTAATGACTGTGTACTCATTCCTCTGATGCAACGTCGCATTGTCTTCATGAATTAACCTTAGCATCACTTATCCCCCATGTAACCCACCCCAGGCAGTGGCTGCCCGAACTGCCCACCTGCATTGTCCATGTGAGACCCCCATCGATGCCTGGGCAGCCACCACCTGGGGGAGGACAGAGTTTGGGCAGAGGCTGCTGCCTGATTTCTCCCACTGCATCTCACTCAGGGGTGCACAGGCTGAGGATGAGGCCGTGTGGCTCGGGGACAGAAGAGGTGGCAGCACGGCACCCGTGGGTACCCCATGGCGAGTGTTTTGTTCTGGTGGCTCCATCACAACCTGCTGGGACACAGCTGTGCCCGGGAAGAGCAGCGCAGGTCTCTGATTCACCCTTCATGTGGCACACGGAGAGACAAGGCATCGTGCACTGTGTGCTCATCACTAGTTTTAATGGCTATACCTGGCCTCTGCCTTCTCTGCTCATTTATAAAGCAGATCTGTGAGCTAATCAGCATCTGGCCTTTGCTTCTCATGTCCGTGAAGGACCAAGTGTTGTTCAGTGCATGACAGGGCAGAATTGGTGGTATACAAAAGAAAAACAAACCTCCTAATCTCTACCTTGATCCTTACTTGATCCTCATTCAGTCATTTAAGGCTTTTAGAAAATAATACTGAAGAGGCTGCAATCACACAAGCAAACTTCATACTTTGCCCCATGGCTGTGTGAAAATGGAAAACAGGTCGGAATATGGAGACATAAAACACTACCAAAAGCAGATGCGAGGAATTAGGTATAATAATTCAGAAGAATCCTTTCTGACATTGCTCAGACCAGGGAGCAGCAGAAGCAATAGGGATGCCACAGTTTGACACCTAGACATGACATTTCACAGGCTGGTGTTTCAATTACTGTGGTTGGTTTAATTATTTACAGGGATGCTGTTTACTTTTCTTCTTGCAAGTCAGATTCAAACCGAAATGCGAACCATTATGCATGTTCATTTACAGCATACCAATAGCTGAGTGTTTAGAAATTAGGGATAAAGACATTATCAGATCTGCTGCACAAAAAATGAATATTTCATTTCTAATTTATATGTGTACATATATACGTACAGCTACTGTCAATATAGCTGTTTTAAATACAGTAGCTAGATACAGCTGTGGATATTGAAGCATGACAGCAGAAAGAGTCTGCACATAAACTTTCCTTCTAAAAAAACCATCTCCCTCATCCAGCAGATATAAAAGCTGTACAAGGGGCAGCAATAAGCAGCAGGGTAATCAGTCTTGGGAACTGAGGCCTTTGCAGCTTTTATAGCACCTGTGGTATCTGGCCACCCAGCCATGAAATTGCATGCACTAGCTAGTGCAGGTACTGGGTCCCAGGGGTGACCTTGAGCTGGGAGGTTTAATCGAGAGATTTCTGGGCAGGGCAGAGGACGCAGAGCCTTCCCGTTGTGCACAGTGAGTTAGGGTGTCTCTCGTAAAGTGAGATGAATGTGTGCACAGGGAACGAAGCAGGCCGGCAAACAAGGGAAGGATTTCAGGACAGAAAGGTGCGCTTGCCCTGACACTGACACTGCTGGTGGCCCTCAGGGACCGGTCAGAATGCAGCAGGAGGTGCAGCAGGGATCGAGCAATGCCCTGCAAGTCCCCGCCAGCAGCCCCAGCACAGACCCGCCACCCAGGTGCACGCTGCTCAGCACCATGCCAGTGCTGCCTTCCCCAGGCAGCAGCAGTTCCTATGCCTAATTGGCAGCTGGGGAAACTGAGGCACGGGGTGGACATGGTATCCTAGGGTTATACAGCTCTGTGACAGGGCTGTGGACATCACCCAGACCTCCTAATGTTCACTCCTAAGCTCCAGCCACAGAATAATTTCCCCAGACTTTCTCAGAGACAATCTACATGGCAGTTCATGCTCAAATGCGGATAAAAAGCAGCTCTCTCTTACCTACATACATCACACCTTCTTTAGTCTTCTCTGCAGCCTCTGTCACTCCCTGCTTGGTCTTTTCTGCAGCAGCCACCACACCTTCTTTAGCAATGGAGAAACCTTTCTTAAAGACATCCATCCTTTTTGCTTGTTCGGGTACTACCTGGACGATCTGAGTGAGGGGCAGCAGCAAGCAGCACCTCGAGAGGGAGACTGCAGTCTGCAACCCTGCCCTTGCTGGATGCTCGCTTTCCCTGCCAGTCTCTGTCTTTGCTCTTATTCCTCTGCTGGATGAGGACGGTGTGTCAAACCTCGCAGCCTTTGCTGGCTCTTATTGATGAAGTGCACTGCAGAGTAGCCAATGCCTGTGAACAGCTGATACTGAAATATTAATGATATGGATCTGCTTGGTAAGATTTAAGAAGGGAGGGGGAGAGGAGGACAGAGGTACATAAGGGACTTACTGGAAATTTTCCAGATAGCTAAAGCTTTTAAAATACGCTGCAGTGCTCTCACTCAAGGATGCTCTCAAGCAAAGAGGGAGAGGTTTTAGCTAAAGAGCTGAGATCCCGAAAGTGCCTCTGCCAGGGGCTGCAAGCACAAGCTCTCATGGGTTCCCAGGAGGTAGAAAACATGTAAAGTGTTTGCAACAAACCCAACAGGGTCAGGTCTCTTGGTCTAGCCATTACCAGAACCCATCCTGCACAAAACAGTAACAAGAACATTGCTTCTAGTAAGCACAGATAGGAAAGGGGAACCAGCTAAAGGTTGGTGCCAGAGGGAAGGGGGCTGGAAGTCCCATGAGCCTTAATGCCTGATGCTGGTCCCCAAGGCATGGAGTACAAATGATGGTTTTTGCTAATCTGCATGTCCCGTTACAATGGTTTTCTTCTGAAAAACCCAGTGGCTGTTGGGGGAAATCCTGTTTCCTCTTTGTTTCTTGGAGTGGCTGTAGGCAGAGCTTGGCCGAGCCGCTGCAGAAGCAGCCTCAATGGAAGGATTGGTGGAGGAAACCTTGCAGCTTGCACCCCCAAAAATGCTCCCCTCCTCAAGGCCTCAAAATATCAAAAATAACAAAAATAATAATAATTAAAAAAAAAACAGCAAAAATATCAAAGCACATGATCGTTAATCACAGCTGGATATCCTAACGTGCTTAATAATTTAACTTATTTTTTGCTTGTTTGTTTCTGAAATTGCCCCTAACTGGCCCAAATCAGCTTTCCTCTCACTAGCAAACTGAAATTGAACAGAAGCGAGTGTGAAATCAAATACCAGTACAATGAGGTGGCATTTTGCTCCTGGTGCCATACCTGTAGCTGTGAAGCCCCCCTCTGCACACACAGACCCTGGCCAGCTCTGGCTGCTTTCCTTCCCCAGGCAAATGGAGAAGGAACAACCAAGGCCCAGCAGTGGGATGGGGGCAGCACGCGGACAGAGCTCAGGCTGCTGAAGTCAGCACATTTCTTTAGGTTTTGGGAGTGCTGTCTTACTCTGTACTGAAACAACTGAAAGACTAGACTGTTGGTCTGGAAAATAAGATACAGATTTCTTAGTCTTTTCCTTACCACTGGTTTTCCTTGCTGATAAAGCACAAATCCCAATTCAAATATAGAGGAGCTAAGTCTCTGACAAACTAAATAGACTAATAAACTTGCCAACTGTTAATTCAAACAAACAAACAAAAAAATCCCATGCCAGATTCAGCGGAATGGACCACAACTCAAAGTGCTCAACCTCCCAGGGTATTCCATGGGGACATCTAGCCTGATAAGGCTGTGAGAAGTATATTTTGATTTTGCTAAGCTATTGTTCTGTCACTGGAACTCGTACAATTAAATGCTACATATTTGGCATTGTTATAGAAGTTAACAAATACATGAAATATCAACCCATCCTGCACTATCCAACATGAGTCATCACCAGACTGCATCAACCCACATTTGAGTGGGATACTCCTTTCCTGCCTTCTCCTCTCCTGATGACCTTCAGACAGAACTCACAAGAAGTATTTAAAACTCTCTGGATCACTCCCAAGACAGCAGGCAGCTTGCACAGGCATTGTTTTACCTTGAAACACTTTTAGGAAAGCTCTGGACACAAGACAACATTGTAGGTGACCTATATAGGGCAAGCATCTATAGCAGTTCCTGAACACTGGCCACCCCATGGCATTTGTACTCCACTTCTACTCTAAGCCAAGGATTTAATCTTCATTTGTTGCCAGTCCTGCCTCAGGTGAACATAACAGCAGGTTAATTTTGTGCCTGAAAAATTGTTCTTCCCTTGTAGTAGATAGAACAACTTAATCAGCAGCTAGAGAGGAGTTAGGAGTTCCTCCAAAGGGCAGTTCAGAGAACCCAAGCTCCTACATTGCACCCTGTCTGGTGGCAGCCTGTTTCTCCCTGTTACCTACCGGGGACATAGTGCAGAAGCCAGCTAAGACAGGCATTTCTGAGGTACCTGGGCTGCAGTCAGCTCCCAGTTGTTTCTACTTTGCTTAACGCATACCACTTTGTGAAGTTGTACCTCACAAAACTCAGTGGATCTGCAGAATACCAAAGAAAGCCCTGTTTCATCTCTGTAATGACAAACCATCAAGCTGATATTCGTTTAAAGTCTGAATTTTGCTGGGTCAGGCTTGCCCACTGGGGGCTCTTGCTATGTCACACCACCGCTCTTTCTTGACAGTCTCCGAAAGGTGCTGATCCCACATCCCCCACACCGCAGCTCTCCCTGGGGGTAACGGCTAGTTCCTGTAGGCCTGTGCAATGCACAGGTTCTCTCAGTGACTCTGCAATTTGTGCAAGACAGGTCTGCCTCAAGCCTACCTATTCCCAAAAGCACAGATGCAAAAGGAAATCCAGGAATGCAAAGGAAAGAAAGAAAGAAAAAAAAGACTCCTGTCCTCTAGAGCCATTTTGTTTGTGACTACGATGGATTGAAATATAATTTTAATTAATTTGTCTCTCTTCCCTTGTTACGTTTCCAAATCGTCAGTTACTCTGCACACAACACCTTAACCTTGTCCTTTAAGAAGGAACTTACTCTGCAGACTGTCAGCTGATGAAGGCATCTCGCTGGGCGACAGGATTGGGATTTGGTCATACTCTACTGAAGTATTTTGAGAGGTTATGATGTCTGGAATACAGGTACGGAAAGGAAGGACAGGCTGCTTTGTGGCTGGTACATATCCTTTGTTCAGGATGCTTTTGTATGGAGAACAATACTAACAGTAACAGGATCAAACCTCGCTCTAAACAAACAGAAATCCTCTCTCTCTCTCCCCATCTATGAACACTTCAAAATGCAGAAAGAACTGTCTCAGATCATTCATTTTCGTGCTCCCAAGTAAACAACCCGTTCTGCTCGACATCCTCCCGGCACACAGCTGACGACTCCAAGCTGGTAGGGTACGTAGGTTTGCATAGCTAATGAGTAATTTCCTCTGCCAGGGAGCGACCAGAACAGCGGGTGGCTGACAGAGGAGCCTTTTGCGAGGCACACGTGCAGGGCGCTGCCCGTACAGCACACGGCAGGCTTTAGGGGCTGAGCTCTGCTGCTGAACACCATCGGTGGATTTGGAGCAGAATGATACATACACACTCAACAAGAATTCACCTTCCTCCCCTGAAGGGCAGATCACTGAAAAACTGTTTTTCCAGCCCGGCTACCTGCCTGAGGAGGAGGTCGCGCTCCTGCTGCTGCCCTGCACATGCAGGAGCCCGGCCGGGTGCATGCACGTGGGCCTGCAGCAGCGGGCAGAGGATGAGACAGCATTTTCCAGACCTAAAAGCCAACGGCAAACGAGTAGCTGCCCCCTTGCTGTGCAGATATCAACAAAATTGTCCTATTCCTCTTCACAGACATCAAATGCATTCAATTATTCAGCCTGCTTCAGAGATTTGAAGCTGGGATAAACAAATCTGGAGCAACTCATTCTTGTTAAAAATAAATCCAGCTTCTCTTGTTTTTTTAAACATTTTTCCCAAAGATCTTTTTTTTCTTTTTAAACTCTTAGATTCTGAATTTAAGGCCATAGTATTAATTTAAGAGCATTACAGAATTGTTCTAATATATTATAGCAGTGAATCTGGGAAGATACAAAAGAAACAAAAAATAGTCTGAATGTATTAATTGAAAAATTTCGATTCTAAGGGCTCTTTTTTCCAGAGAAGCTGTCTGGCATGACCAGTGCATTTGCTTTCCAAGTGCACACAAGCCATTTCTCAAGCACGCTGCTTGGCGCTGCTTACCTTGTGCTCTCCACCTCCTGTCCAGCTCCGACATGGGCTTGGACTCCAAGCAAGCAGATGGGGGCCAAGATGAGAAACTGGATCTCACGTCTTCCACAAAGCACCCAGAAGTCAGCACTGTTATTTGGCACCTTGGTTATGGAGCTACAAAACACATATTGAGTTCTCAGGGCAGGCAACATGGAAGGGGGTAAAGAGCTATGCTTAGCATAAACAGCTGTAATTAACAGAAGGCAAGAGCAGTCATGGCAGTTAATTGGCAAGGTCACAGGGCACATGGATGCGCCTGGTGTTAATATTGTTATCAACTCCTTAAAGACTGAAGACCGTTTGAAATAGTTCTCAGAAATACTGGGGAGAGAAGTATTTTCATGAATAAGGGCATGGGAAAAAAGCCACTAATGACTGGGAACCAAGAAGGAAGAAACAGCATCTCTCCTGTCAAATTATTTGCTAACATAGAGAGCAAATTTGTTTTTCTCTAGCCGTTCTGAGAGCTGCTAGAAACTTCTGAGAAGTATCAGGGCAGCTCCAAATGTCTCTGCACCACTATTACTATGTCACTTACTGACAGGCTTTCAAGTATACTCTTGGAGTAACATCTACTGCCAAATCATTTTCCAAATTAAATTTGAAATTTGATTTATCTCACCCATTTCTTCCATTCCAGCAGTGGCATACAGCTCTGTAAAATGCACCAAGTTTCCAATAAGGTAAGTAATGGAATAGTGAATAGACATCTACTCATATTAGTTGGTGCACGCTTGTCTTTCTCATCTAGTAGGTGTCTCCTGGAGGAGACTGACCTCAGAAGGCAAAGAGCAAACTGTCATAGAAAATGACCTTGTGTGTCTATTTTCCCCTGGTTCCTTGCTGAAGCAACAGCTCAAGAAATAAAGTGATGTAGTGATGTGTCATGCTCCTGAACAGGTACTCCTCACACCTTTCTCCTCTGCAGATGTTAAACATGAGAACTTCCATCTCAGTCCACTAATATATTAACTGTTATGAACCAACAGTATATACTGAGTATGTTATTCAGGGACCCTAAACCAGGACAGTTAATAATTAGACAGAAATCTTAACTCGTGTTGTTTGGTAATGAGAGTACTTTGAATAATTCTCGCCTTCTGTATTCATATCAGCATCCTGTGCTATGCCCGTCACGAGGAAAGAGACGTCAGTCCCTGGCATGCTCAATATTTTAACGTCTTTCATAACCGCTACCCAAAAGTCACGTTAAATTATTAACTTG